AGGACACAAAAGCATATTGATGGATATTTTTATTTTACTCTGCAGAAATTGAAGACAGCAGAGTTTTAGCTTTAAAATTCCTTCCTAGGGCGCATGGGTGGCTCAGTGGGTTAAAGCCTCTGCCTTCGGCTCAGGTCATGATCCCAGGGTCCTGGGATCGAGCCCCGCATCGGGCTCTCTGATCAGCAGGGAGCCTGCTTCCCTTCCCCTCTCTCTGCCTGCCTCTCTGCCTACTTGTGATCTCTGTCTACCAAACAAATAAAAATCTTTAAAAAAAAAAAAGGAGTTTAAAAAAAAAATAAAATTCTTTCCTAAAGAAATACGCTGTTTTAACTTTGCAATGGGAAAAAGAAAAGCATGTTGCAAAGTTCTTTAGCAGACACCAGGGAGGGAAACAAAACTCTTTCTCACCAAGTCCTCAAGACTCCATGTTCCAAATACTCAAGTCCTCGCTCTTAGATCCTCCCCCAGTTTCCCTTCGTGTCTGGCTACATTGTTGTCACATCAAATCTGTCAGCATCTTCACCGCCTCTCTCTTTCTTTTTTCTTTTTTTTTTTTTAAGGTTTTATTTATTTATTTGAGAGAGACAGAGAGAGAGCATGAGAGGGGTAAGGGTCGGAGAGAGAAGCAGACTCCCCACTGAGAAGGGAGCCCAATGCGGGACTTGATCCCAGGACTCCAGGATCATGACCTGAGCTGAAGGCAGTCGCTTAACCAACTGAGCCACCGAGGCGCCCCTTCACCTCCTCTCTAATGCAAACACCATGCTGTCATCTCCTGGACCACCACAGCCATCTCCTACTGGATCACTCAAAGTTTCCACACAACCTTCAGGAAACCATAAAAACACCTCAGCAGAGCACACAAAGGCCTGCATCATCTGTTCTAACCCTCTCCTTCAATTCTCACTGGGCTCCTTAAGCCCACAATCTCCAGAGCGACCCATACCCGTGCATTTCAGTGACCCATATGGGCTGGAGGATTCCTCTGCACACACGCCGAGGATGTTCCACCAACCAGCACCCATCCCTGAGGACCAACATTCACTGTGTGGATGCCATCAGAAATGCTCTAGAACCCAGGCGTCTTGCAGAATCAGAGGTTCCACAAATGTTGACTAAAGTGAGCAATTCTTTATAAAGAAAAGAATTTAGTAGGGACACACCACTGATAAGCACTCACACCCAGCATTAGAACGATCTCGTACACTTTCATATGGTTTCAGTATGATCTGCCTGCTTTCATATAATGTCTTCTTACACAGAAAGGCTTCTCAGTGTTATTCATCAGCAAGCAGTGAAGACTCTGAGCCACTAAAAAGGGGACCAGATGTCACACTGTTGAATCCACAAAGCTGAATATCGAGCGTTTTCTGACCTCACTCTATTCTAAATATCCCATCCCCTCTGACTACAATTTTTCCTTAGGGGAAAGTACAACAATGAATGGAGTCTTCACTAGGCCACCTTGAACAATGCCATGCCAATGCCTCCGTAATCACTAATTTAAAGATTTTTTTTTTTTTATTTGACAGAGAGAGAGAGAGAGAGAGAGGTCACAAGTAGGCAGAGAGTCAGGCAGAGAGAGAGGAGGAAGCAGGCTCCCTGCTGAGCAGAGAGCCGGAAGCAGGGCTCAATCCCAGGACTCTGGGATCATGACCTGAGCCGAAGGCAGAGGCTTTAACCCACTGAGCCACTCAGGCGCTCCCATAATCACTAATTTAAACACCCATTGTTTGCTTTATTCAACATTTTATGTGGCATTTTCTTCTGACTGGAAATTCTTTTTTGGGGTAGCACATTAAGTAGTTATCACTTGAGAGTCTCCTAGAGACCAAATGCTCGAAGTTCAGCAAGGAGGCATTACATCATGCGATGAGCTTTGCAAATCTGAGCATTCTGAATTTTTAAAATACTGTGTCTAAAATTAGTGTCTGAAACTAAATCAAATAAACTTTTAGAATCTGTTTCTATGATACAGACATCAGATTCTCATGTAGAAGCTGAACATTCTTAGTTGAAATACATTATAACAGAGATCAAGTATCACATAAGGCAGCTATCCAAATTAAAACACTGGGTGGCTCAGTCAGTTAAGCATCTGACTCTTTTTTTTTTTAATCTTTCTTTTTTAAGATTTTATTTACTTATTTGACAGATGGAGATTACAAGTAGGCAGAGAGGCAGGCAGAGAGAGAGGGGGAAGCAGACTCCCTGCTGAGCAGAGAGCCTGATTCAGGGCTCGATCCCAGGACCCTAAGATCATGACCTGAGCCAAAGGTAGAGGCTTAACCCACTGAGCCACCCAGGCACTCCTAAAAAGTTTTCATTTCTGTACTGGCTTATAGTAAAACAGTATTCTGGACATTTTTGTTTATTTTTTATTTTTAAAACAAAACTCAAAATTCTTGAAATCCATTTAAAGATAAAAAAAGAAACACCTTTTGTATTTTTTTTTAAGATTTTATTCATTTATTTGACAGAGAGAGATCACAAGTAGATGGAGAGGCAGGCAGAGAGAGAGAGAGAGGAGGAAGCAGGCTCCCTGCTGAGCAGAGAGCCCGATGCGGGACTCGATCCCAGGACCCTGAGATCATGACCGGAGCCAAAGGCAGCGGCTTAACCCACTGAGCCACCCAGGCGCCCACATCTTTTGTATTTTTACCTTGTTTTTACTTAAAAAGCAGTTTTTTTTCCAAACATTTTTTTATTTATTTCAGAGAGAGAGAGAGAAAGAGAGAATGGGAGGGAGGAGCAGAGAGCCTGCTTCCCCCTCTCTCTCTACCTGCCTTCCTGCCTACTTGTGATCTCTGTCTGTCAAATAAATAAATAAAATCTTTAAAAAAAAAAAAAAAGAAATGAAAACTTTTAAATAAAATCATAAACAATTTAAATTTTGTAGAAGATTGAAATTAAGATAAAATTTTAATCTATAATTTAAATTAGTTATTTCAGGGTTAACCAGGCATAGATTTTTTCAATCCCTATTTGGTAAATACTTCAGGGGGTGAGGTTTAGCAACCTGCTCAAGATCAACCAACTACCAAAAGAAGAAGCGACTGTTCAAGGCCAGGCACCCGTGAACCACACTGATGGACAAGCCGTGCTGTCAGGTCCCAAAGCCTTAAGGACCCAAGGCAGCCTCTGTTCAAGAACTGTGGTTACAGTTAATGAAAGGCCTTCTCTGGAGTCATTTGTACACTGCAAGAAGCCAACTGATGCCCACACAATTCACAGCACAATTTCGTAGCGGCGTAAAAACAAGCCACTGTGGTTTTTTGAAAACATATTCTCATTAAAATCATGACTTACATTTTATAGTTATCAAAACAGTAAAAATTCTTGATAGCTGTGTATCTAATACAGAGCTTCGTTTCTGTAGATCAACCAAAGCACGAGTTAAAACGAAAGAGACTCCTTCTGAAATAGGAATACATTTCAAATAGGGACATATCATTGAAGCCTCTTGCTCTGACCTCCTCACGGAGGGAGAAAAGAGATTTTCATTTCTCTTACTGAAACTAGAAAGACTGATACCAAAAGGACCAGTAGGCTGAACACAAGGAACAACCCAGCTTCTAAACAAGGAATCCCAAGTGGTGGTATGTGCCACCAGTGTTCCCGAAGGCCCAGTGGGTCCTCTGACCCTGTATTTTTAAGTATCCATGTCAATATCAAGATTGCCAGGATCTCCTTCTGTAGTGGAAGCTAGCTTCTGACCTTGTGCCACTATCATGGAAATTTGAAGATCTCGTTGATCTGACCACAAACCCCAGCTCTCTGAAGTAGCCCCAACTGACATGTTAACCTGTTTGCCATGAATGTCCCATCTTATAAGTTCAAAAGGAAGGTCTACCTGCACACGGTGATGGAGCCAGCAGGCAGGAACATGTTATCATTCCTGGCTGCTTGGCTCTGCCCTCATGTGACAAATAAGCAAGGTCCAAATTTGCAAAATACTTCCATATACTCACCCCTGGGACAGATCCAATTTTCGTAGCCCTAGGGCTTGTACAATATGCAGGCCCACCAAGAAAGAAATGAGGCACAAAAGCAGATATTTAAGAGGTACCTTTGCAAGTGAGAAACCTTAAAGCTTAAGCTTCACTGATTATATGGTAAAGGCAACTTTGACCCAATGATATAAAATTGCCAATATTCGACCACTTTGATCTACCAAAATAGCAACTTAGGATGGATCAATGGATCACACTGATGGCATAGGGCTCCCGTATCGGCTCTGCGGTTCACTCAGGAGAATATAAGAGCTCACTACTGGTATATAAACTAAGATTCCTACGCTTATTAAAACTGATAAGGAAAATTCACCTTAAATGGTGCTTATGGAATGCTAGATAGGGAAAACCTAAGGTAACCATGGTGGTCACTGTGACTACATTTTCAAAATAATATTTACATAGATGAACAAAAAATACGAAAATGTAAACAAAAATAATTTTTGTATTTGAATAGTACTACCGTGAGTTATTTTCCCTCACAACCAAAGGTTGTTCTATTATCCATGTATTTTTTATTGTTTTTTTACTTTTCTTTTATTGTGTTATGTTAGTCACCATACAGTACATAATTAGTTTTTGATGTAGTGTTCCAAGATTCATTGTTTCCAGTGCTCCATGCAATACGTGCCCTCCTTAAAACCCACCACCAGGCTCACTCATCCCCCCGACCCCTTCCCCTCTAAAACCCAAATAATTTAAAAGGAAGAAGAGGACAAGTGTGAGGAGAAGAGGCAGGGACACAGAAGGAGTGAGAGACCTCAGATGTAACTGTCTGTGGTGACAATTCATTACACACTTGCCATCCGTCTATACATCAACAACCCGAAACATATCTTGAACTTTATTTCAAGGGATCAAGATAAAAGCCAACCAAATCAATGAGAGACCTTATATTTCTAAGGGTCTTCCCTTTGAGATAACATAGATCTTTGTTAGTAAGGAATGTCTCAGCATGACCAAAGGCCAACTAAGAGAACTTACTTTTTGCTTGCCTCACAGACATCTGTAATGTTGGAGAAAAGATGGTGACTCTCTGTTTTGGTCATTGTATCACTCAGTTCTTTAGAATTTTTAAACATTCGTATCAAAATCTCCAAGCTGAGTAAATAGGAATGTTCAGAGGATATGACTTCAAAGATAGCCTGGTATGAAGGAAAAAGAAATGTATTATTAATACATTAATACTGTGATTGAAGAACTAAATGTAGGTTTCATAATTCTCCTATAAAAATAACATATCTTGAAAAGCATAAAAAGATAAGCATGAGGAAAAATGCCTCACCAAACTACTGTCTTTTTTATCTAAGGCACATAAACCTCAAGAAATAGAGTCACTGCCCACAGTGTAAAAATGAAAAAGCGAAAGCATTTAGGTGACCTGAGATTGCATCCTGAAGTCATGCTTTGTCAAGTAGAATCTATGGAAGGAAAGCTAGGGCACATCATAAAACCTCAGTGTGACATTAATTAACCTTTGGAGTCATCTCTTCCAGGTCTGTTTTCAAAGTATGCTGCTCTGGGACACGAAGGATTTATTGACATCACTTGGGATCCCGAGAACATTTTCACAAATACATTTCTTTGCTCTCCTCCTAAGCGGGCCCCCCTTCTCTAACCCATATTTTAATCCAACAAATTTGCAGTCAATTACAGCAAAGAGTCTGGGTGTAGCAGAAGAGCCTGACTGTATCTATCCTCAAAAGGTTATCAGGCACAGGAATTCTTTTACATTAAACTCATACAACTGAAAGTGATTCTGTTCATTTAACAAGACACCTGCTCTGCTCCCGTCACTATCTCAAGGAGTGAAGGACCCTCTGCAGAAATGCGTGGTGTCAGGCACACAGTCATTTACCTGATAAGTGTTCATTAATGTTAAAAAGCCTGGAGCACCCGGGTAGCTCAGTGGGTTAAAGCCTCTGCCTTCAGCTCAGGTCATGATCCCAAAGTCCTGGGATCGAGCCCCACATTAGGCTCTCTACTCAGCGGGGAGCCTGCTTCCCTGCCTCTCTCTTTGCCTGCCTCTCTGCCTACTGTGATCTCTGTCTGTCAAATAAATGAATAAAATCTTTAAAAAAAAAAAAAAAGATAAAAAGCCAACCCACATATGTAGGCACCAACGCCCTGTGTAAGGAATTCCCCTAGCTCCCTAACAGATTCAACTTCAGATCCTCCAAGAATGGCAACACAGGGATTCCTCCTCAGGTAGGCATGGTCAATACCCACGCAGGCCAGAGAGACACATCCTTCCTAGATCTCTTCCTGGTAACACTGTGATCTTCACCTTGGCCTCCAGGGCTCCTCCCCCCTCAAGCCCTTGGCCCAGAAGATTCTTCCCGTAAGTCCCAGTGCTATGGCTAAAGCTGGGTGGAGGCAAGCAGGCACAGCCAAGTGGACCCCCCAGCTGCTGGTAAGTGGTCCATATTTTGTAAGTCAGGTTAATGGTGCCAGTCTCAATGTTCATCTCCATTTCAGCATCTATAAGCTTTAAAGGAAGTCTTACTTAAATGTGCTAGTCTAGCTTCAGTCATGTTCCAGGGACTTAAATGACATAATCATCTAATGAGTAAAGGGTAAGAACATGAAGAGTCTCACTTGACCTGTATCTTGTACAATTCTATCCAATAAACACAATTATCCCTGGGAAATGTAGTGCAAACTGAAGAAAATGGTCACTTCCTGACCAAAAACAGTGGATGTCACATTGTTGATAGATATGACACCCTGAATGACAAAATATTTTCAAAAGCAAAGGCTTTTGTAATCAAATGCAAAACACTAAGATTTAAACAAAAAGACTGCATGAACTACATAGAACAGATCACATGAAAAGATGACTAAATAGTAGTTTAACATAATAGACTTACTGTAATAACTGTTAAAGCATCCTTCAATAGAACCATCAACTACTTAAAAGCAAATTGGGCCAAACTTTCTAAAAACAGCTATACAGGAATAGAAAGGAACCGTGAAGTTAGATTTGCTGCTGTCATTACTTTTTTTTAATATCACAAATCTGAATATTTTCAAAATATAAAGGAAATAAGTATGTTCAAATAGAAAAGATCTATAAGAATACAGGGATTAGGACCCTGGAGTAGCTCTTGAATTTGTCCACAAACATTATTTATGCTGCAGTGTTAACAATGAAGAAAAAAACATACCACCTACTGTCTAAAATTTGGACAAAACATTTTTTTTAAGGTGGTATTTATACAGTGGAATACTATATGGTGGGTTGAATGAATGATCGGGATTAATATACATTAACATAGACAAATCCCAAAACTGGGCTGAATGGCAAAAGTAAAGAAAAAATATGTTCAGAATCATCACTCATCTACATTTTAACACTCACATATCACACAAAAATATGTACATAAATATATGTAATACATAATTTAAAAACATAGATTGAGGGGTGGCTGGGTGGCTCAGTCGATTAAGTGTCTGCCTTTGGCTCAGGTCATGATGTCAGGGACCTGGGATTGAGCCCTGCATCAGGCTCCCTGCTCAGCAGGGAGTCTACTTCTCCCCTGCCCCTCCCTGCCACTTGTGCATTCTCTCTCTCTCTCCCTCAAATAAATAAATAAAATCTTTAAAAAAACCAACAAAAAAAAACCACACAGATTGGATAGGTACACATCAATTCATAATTATAGTTGCCTCTGGGGAGGTAAGGAAGGAAATAGCACCAAGGAGAACATAGGACTTCTACTTTACTGAAAGTCTTGGTTTTTTTAAAAAATATGAGGAAAAAATTATAAATGTAATACATTTGTTAATTCTCAGTGATGGGTACACCAATATTATATATTATTCTGTTTTTTTAAACTTAAACAAAAAATGACAGTGTAAGTTCCCCTTATTTTTTTTGTTATTTCATGCCAATAAAATAAAAATATAGTGCATGTCCTTTGTGCAATTTACAGGCATGTATACACATAAACGTAGTAATATGCAAACAGGAGAAAAGTGTTTTTAGAATTTCACTACCTTATTAAAATGAGTAATTTCCCTAAACAGCATTTATTTAAACTTCAAGTTGTATAATCCTATTACTATCTGCTTTATTTTTTATTAAGTAAACCTTTATTCTGGTATAATTTTAGATTTATTGAAATCTTGCAAAGAGGGAACAGAGCTCCTATTTCTTCATCCAGCTTCCCCTAAACAGGGCACATGACATAACCATGGTACATCACATTTTATCTGTAGACAAATGTACATACTTTACTCAGATTTCACCAGTTTTCTCACTAATATCCTGTTTCAATCTGGGATCTAATATCTCTTTCATTTTTCAACATATTTCTTCCAGTTTCAATACCTCGACTAGGGGCTTTGTTGTTTAAGCTAAAATGACATTAAGGTGTTTTAAGTTTTCTTTCCTGGTTCTTAGATGTAGTTTTATTTGACAATGAACACATACCTCTTAACGCAAAAAGAACAAAATGAATACGTTTTCAAAAGAAAACACTGAACCAGTGCACACAGTAGGTGAAAGCACTCACTCTTTGGAGCTTTAAAAGTATCTGCTCAGTAGAAAACATACCTCCTGCCTCTTTCTTTCCTCTTGGCTAACTGTCTGTGATAATCCATTTCTTTTCACCTAGAGGAAAAAGCAAAATAAAGTTGAGCTCATTTACTTCAACAACTTATTATGTAACACATAACTCCATGCCCTTTGAGAAATGAATTATAGGAAATTATGCAAAATGTGTGAATTCAGCACATATTAATTTGGGGGCCCCTCAAATAATAATTAATCACAATAATAAATTAGCATCAACACAAAAGAACTGCAAAATGTCTAGAACACTATCCCATCAGGTTGTGCTAATCTGTCCTAGTCTTAGGTCTAGATATTCCTAAAATGCTTATCAAATTAATTTCCCAAATCATAAATGAAGAAATCTAACAAAAAAGAAAGTGAAGCCACCCCTCCTGAGAGTTTACTGCCCTGGATCACACATTGAAAAAGCAACTATAATACAATTTTTCACCCAGAGTCCACGGAATACCTGTGCTCACCATAGCAACACAAGCAAACAGGAAAAAAAGACCCCTTTGCCCCAGTTTCAGCATTCTTTTCAGCACAGTGACGCTTGACAAAGAAGAGAACGCCTGGGTGGTTCAGTCCATTGAATGCCAGAAGGACTCTTGATTTCCGCTCAGGTCATGATCTCAGGGTCCTGAGCCCTGTATCAGACTCTGCACTCAGCCAGGAGTCTGCTTGAGATTCTCTCTCTCCCTTTCCCTCTGCCTCCCACACTGGCTCACATGCTCTCTCTCTCTCTCTCAAAACTAATTAATTTGGCAAAGAAGGATGTTAACCTGATAGTCTTTGGAGAAACAGCAATACCCACAAGAACCAAGAATACCAGTACCATACTTGGAGTAACACAGTTGTACCACTGGCTGAATCACTGCAAGCTCTACCTAAATTACCACACATTTTTATTTGATTACTGCAGTGCCTACCATTATTCAACTTTTTTTTTTTAAAGATTTTATTCATTTGTGAGAGAGAGAGAGAGAGTGCATGCACACACACACAAGCTGGGGGAGGGGCAGAGGGAGATAAGGAGCAGACTCCCCACTGAGCAGGGAGCCTGACGTGGTACTCAATTCCAGGACCCTGGCATCATGACCCAAGTCAGAGGCAGATGCTTAACCGACTAAGACACCCAGGTGCTGCACATGATTCAGCTTCTAAACCAGAGTGGAGGCTCTGTGCTTAACAGAACAGCAGGAAAGGGGAGAGTTCTCCCCTTTTGTGAGAAACTAATAACAATAAAATATAGCTCAGGTCTTTAAACACTTATAAAAAGCACAGCGATCTGGACGCCTGGGTGGCTCAGTTGGTTGAGTGTCTGCCTTCAGCTCAGGTCATGGTCCCGGGATCGAGTCCCACATCAGGCTCCCAGCTCCATGGGGAGTATGCTTCTCCCTCTGACCTCCCCTCTTGTGCTCTCTCTCACTCTCAAAATAAATAAATAAAAATCTTTAAAAAAAAAAAAAAAGCACAGCAATCTGATATCCACCATCCTCCATTTAAAAATAAATATGCTTCCCATAATAGCTGGAGATTCCTCTTCTTTCTCCTTAGAAATCAAATTTCTATGTCAAAATTTTCCTCCAAAATTTCCTATCTGTTAGGGCATCTTTTTTTTTTTTTTTAATTTTTATTTTATTTGACAGATAGAGATCACAAGTAGGCAGAGAGGCAGGCAGAGAGAGAGAGAGGAGGAAGCAGGCTCCCCGCCGAGCAGAGAGCCCGATGCGGGGCTCGATCCCAGGATCCTGGGATCATGACCTGAGCCGAAGGCAGAGGCTTTAATCCACTGAGCCACCCAGGCGCCCCTGTTAGGGTATCTTATTAATCACCCTAGCATACCCTGATGCAAAATACATTTTTCAACTCAATTTTCTAAAATTTCCTGTGACCACTGAGCTAAGTATAAAAGAGACTCTTCTGGATTATATGATCACCACGAATATCATTAATAAACTGTGACCAAAATAACACAGTAACTTCCGATTTTAATGCATCGGTCTCTAAAAGTAAATTTTACTGAGAATGACACTCTTAGTAAGGTGCGGGGTTGTGGTGGCTTCGTTAAGAGGCTTCACGGAAACCAATATTTTAAATTGACCCCCCATATCTTGTACCCCAGTGGACTAGCACCTTGGAACAAGGCACCACACTAGGATTTGAAATGGGTAAGAGGAACATCTTTCTTCAGTAAAATTGTAAAAAGGACAAATGTGAGAGGAGACTGGAATAAACGCTGGGGTAACACTGAGCACACGCAGTCTCAATTTTGGAAAGGAAGATACCCGGAACATAAAGATTAAAAAAATGTATCCTTAAAATGATCCCTGTCCACTTTGCACGGTCTTCATGAATCCCCTGTGGTGTAAACCTTAGTTTGAAGACCGTGGGAGCATAGGGCCCTACATTGTGCTGTCATGGAAATGAGAACATATGGTATGGTCTCTATCCTAACTTTCGGAAAAGAACAGAAAGTAGTACAGTAGTGTAGAAAGAGTCCTAAATCGGTGGTAAAATCAGCGATCATTTATGGAACATTTACTGTGTGCCTAAATGTGTGGTAAGCATTTTTACATCCCCTTTCCCATTGAATCCTACTAAAAACTCACGAAAGCCAATACTATCCTTACCCCAATTCAGGTGGGGATAATAAGTGAGGCTTAAGATCTAAGATCACACAGCTAACAGGTAGTGAGGGCAGGATTTGCATCTCTGCCTATCTAACTCCAGAGCCCATACACACTCTCTCTCTCTAAGGTTTATTTACTTTAGAGAAAAAGAGAGTGGGGGGCAGAGACAGAGGGAGAAGGAGACAGAGTCCTAAGCAGACTCCCCACTGAGTGCAGAGCCCCATGCAGGGCCTGATCCCATGACCCTGAGACTATGACCTGAGCTGAAAGCAGGAGTCGGAACTCCAGCCAACTGCACCACTCACGTGCCGCAGGTGGCTGAGGGAGCCCTGTTCTCTGCGAGAGGCACTCCATTTCTAGGGTTGGGCAATCATTACTAAAACTCCTTCTAATGCCAGGCCTGTATCAAGTCTCCATATGTTCTTTTTCATCCACCCATATTGTGGAATGTTCTTAGTCTTACCCACCATCCTGACCTGGGGTGAGCCTGTCAGCAAGAGTTCATGGCTAAAAAGGCCTCTTCATCCATTTTAATAAGGGAGGGGACCAGCCAGAAGAATGAAACTGTTCAGCACTACTCCCATTTGGTTAACCCTGAACAGGAATTTCACAGATTTCCTTCCTGACACACAGTCCTGGCAGATTGATACCCAGGCGCCATGCCCACGATCTCTGTAGGTGAGATCACCAGCAAGAATTTCCTTGCACTGGCCTTGTCATCCAGAATTACTAATGAGTTCAGACCCAGAAATCTTAAGAGAAAGACAATGGGCATGTGGACTTACAGACCTACACAGGTGAGAGCGAGTTTACTGAGGGATTAAGAGTACTTTATCCCATTAAGAAGAAGGAAAAAAAAAATCCCCAGACAAAATAATTTCTTTTTTGAGGGGGGAAAAAGGTAGTTCTGAAAAAGACAAAGAGCTAACTCCCAGAATTATCATATTTCATTAATACTAATACAAACAATGATAAAATACTCCTTTCACCGAAAAGTCATCCATAGGAAACCAGCAACCCATACAAAATACAGAGACAGAAAAGAAAAAGAAAAGAGCGTTCTTGGATCATAACTAAGAACACTGACGTGCAGCACAATGGAGGAGACGGCATGTTGGCTGTGGAGAGTTAGGACAGACCAGCCCCTGCTGGCCGGCTGCCAGGCCACGGCTCCAGCGCCCGTCCTTCTCTCCCGGCCCTTCTGTCCCCTGTACAGGGCAGGCTGGACAGCTTCTCCCTCCTGAACCAAGAGGAGTCATTACAACCACCTGAGACTTCTGTCCACATTCAACTCGAAATTTAGTACCTGAAAGCAGGTGCCTGGATGGAGAAGGTCATGAACAGGCCAGATGCTTTTAGAGACTGAGCAGTTTAGAGAAAGGAAACCAGAGAAAGAGAGGTGTAGAAGGATACAATGGAGGGCCCCCAGGGAGGCTGGTGAAAAGGCAGAGAACAGAATATTAGGGTAGAATGAACACAGTGGAGCAAAATATCAAGCAGAAAAAACAAGGAAGGAAAGGAGGGATGGGGGGTGGAAAGGGAAGGGAAAAAAAAGGAAACTGTGTGCCAAGTTTTTAATAGTAAATACCTCTAAGGGTACCTGGGTGGCTTAATTGGTTAAGCTCTTGATTTCGGTATGATCTCAGGATCCTGAGATCCAGCCCCATGTTGGGCTGTGTGCTAAACCTGAAGCCTGCTGAAGATTCTCTCTGCCCCTCCCCCCTCCTCCCCACCCCCATCCCTGTTCCCAGGCTCACTCACTCTCAAAAAAAAAAAAAAAAGTAAATACCTCTAGAAATTTTCTAATTCAAAAACAGCAAACCTTATCAGTAAACTTAACTCACTGGAAGGCTCAGGCTTTTTTTTTCTCCCCAAGGGGGAAAAAATGCGTGAAAGCATATGTTTACACCTATAATTTTATTTTTTTTTTAAGATTATTTATTTATTTGACAGAGAGAGATCACAAGTAGGCAGAGAGGCAGGCAGAGAGAGAGGAGGAAGCAGGCTCCCCACTGAGCAGAGAGCGCTATTCAGGGGCTTGATCCCAGGACCCTGAGATCATGACCTGAGCCGAAGGCAGCGGCTTAACCCACTGAGCCATCCAGGCACCCCTACACCTATAATTTTAAAGTTGACCTGCTTTTGCAGTTTGCACATGTTTGCTACGAGAATCTGAAAAATTATCAAGTTTATCATGCTTCATCAAGTATTCCTCTTGTTTCCACGTGTGGAAAAGAAAAAAGAAATAGTACAGAAGCTTCTAACACCTGATTCCTATTTACTACCTTAAATGAAAAAAATTAAACTTGTTTCGGCTCCTTCTATATTTTAATAACCTCTATTTCATATTGGCAGCTCTGGTCAACTGGGAACACATGGACGGCCAGAGCAACACACCTCTAGAGGTCTCTTTGGACTTCACTC